AAAAAAAAAAAAAAAAAAGGAGCAAAAATAGCCTGAATTTTCCTGTTTAAAGATTTGTTTACAAATAAAAAATTTTAGGTTGTCATTTTTTTTTTCTAAATCTAAAATTATTCTAAAATTAAAAGTTCATTTTTAAAAATGCAATGTTGGCTGGGTGCAGTGACTCACACCTGTAATCTCAGCACTTTGGGAGGCCAATGAGAGTGGATCACCTGAGGTCAGGAGTTTGAGACCAGCCTGGCCAACACGGTGAAACCCCATCTCTATTAAAAACACAAAAATTAGCTGGGCGTGGTGGCAGGTGCCTGTAATCGCAGTTATTCAGGAGGCTGAGGTGAAAGAATTGCTTGAATCTGGGAGGCAGAGTTTACAGTGAACCGAGATCACGCCACTGCACTCCAGCCTGGGCAATAAGAGCAATACTCTGTCTCAAAATAAAATACTAGTAAAACAAAATGGAATAAGTTTCAGTGAAACACATTCTTCAAAAACAAACTAACCTTTTCAAATATTTTCCCTATAAACAGGCAATTCAGGGCAACAGACTGAAATTCATGCACAACAGAAGTAAATTCATTTCTAAAACAAATATATTTCAAAGCTTTCCAGGAGATAGGCCACACTTTCACCCCGTTTTTTGTTTTGTTTTTTATCATTCATCTTGGTAGGATTGAGTCTTCTCTTTAAATTTTACTTCCTTAGGAAGAATCTACTTTGCCAAACTCGGCTTAAAAACCTGCCATTTACTTTATAATAAATCAAATAGTGTGGGTTTCACCTTTCTTCTAATTCAGTCGTGTTCTCTATCTAGGCTACATATTAGCACCATTTGAGGAGCTTTAAAAAAATCCCTATTCTGAGTCAGAGCCAAGCAGAGAGCAATGGGAGTCTACACAGAGAAGGCACTCATGGGGGTGGTGATGGAGAAGGGTTACATAGAGGAGACTGATGGACTATTTAAGTATATTAAGAATAATGACACCCAGGTTCCTCACTGTTGAGAAAGTAAGTTACACAAATGGAAGAAAAGGGAGAAAACTCAAATGAACTCTGGGGTTGGATCTAAATTATTGGCATGAACTCATAGTTTTCAATATATATAGACATAATATTAGCTGTAACTTTGTGTACATATGTGAGTATATATTCACACACACACACACACACACACACACACACACACACACACACACACACACACACACTCTTACTTCTTTAGCTCTGTCACTCTGAGGGCTAGAGAACAAGCAACATCCAAATAACAATGAACACACTTAGCACCCTTGTTTGTGGCTTCTAAATACCATTCTTCACTAAATAAACCACAGTTCTCTAGAAAAAGAGCTAATTCTCGGGGTAGGATAAGGAAAGTACAAGATGAACTTGGAATGTACATTTGCCAAGAAGCAAAGGAGTGCTCCAAGTGTGATGGGATCCGTCTAATGGCCACAAAAGACAGTGTGATGTGCTCCTACAAGCTAAATTTGGAACAACATCAGCATCAAAATAATTATAGTAAGAGACTATAAGCCATTGTAGAAAATAGGAAAACACAAGTTCATACAGAAATAAACAAATGAATAAATTGAAATGATGAGGAATTGAATGGTAACATAGTTTCAAAGCATCTCCCCAAAAAATACTTGTCATAAAGGGCTGAAAAGGTAATTATGTAAAGGAGAGGCCTGTCAAGATACCACCTTAATCAAGTAATCCATGTGAACATTGTCAGCAATGGGACAAATTTAAACTGTGAGTTACACGACGGGTAAGAAGACCACAGCATCAATTCCGTGATACCCCTTTTAAATGTGTGTAACCTGAGTGCCATCAAAGGAACCATCAGACAACTCCGCATTCAGAGGCGTTCTACAAAATAACTGGCCTGCAATCTTCAAAAGTTTTAAGGCCATGATAGTCAAGGAAGGACTGAGGTACTGTTCCAAATGAAAGGAGAATGAAAAGACGTAACAACCAAATGCAGTGTGTGGCAAATGTCACACCTTGAATGCAGCTGAAGTGGTAGTAATTATCAGTGTGCTAATTTTTTCCTTTGATGATTATATTGTGGTTCTACACCAGAAGGTTCTTTTTGTTAGAAATATACTATACTATTGGTGAAAAGGCTACAGGTGATGGAGCATTGGATCAGCAGTTCATTCTCAAATGACTCGGGGGAAAAAAGGCTTTTTAAAATCATACAGATTCAAACTCTGTAAGTTCAAGACTGTTTCCAAAAACAAAAGAAAATATAAACAACAAACACAAAACTATTGCTCAGGCAGCACCCCAGATCAATGATATAGAAATCTCCAGGGATTTTCAGAAGTCTCTCCAAGCGGCTTTAACATGTGGCTGAGAAACTGCTCGAAATTCTTGTTTAAACCTACACTTGAAAACATTATTACCTGATTTATACCTCAAAAAGATCAAACCTTTGAGCCAAGGAAGTTGAGGCTGCGAGTCATAATCGTGCCACTGTACTCCAGTGTCAGCAACAGAGTGAGACCCTGTCTCTGCCTCCCTCTCTGCCCCTGCAAATACCAGGTGACTAGGTGGGTCCTATATGCCAGGTGACTTGATCATCAATTGCTTGCTTTTTTTTTTTTCTTTGAGATAGTGTTTCGCTCTTGTCACCCAGCCTGGAGTGCAATGGCACTATCTCAGCTCACTGCAACCTCCGCCTCTTGGGTTCAAGCAATTCTCCTGCCTCAGCCTCCCCAGAAGCTGGAATTACAGGTGTCCGCCACCACACCCAGCTAATTTTTGTATTTTTAATAGAGATGGGGTTTCAACACATTGGCCAGCCTGGTCTTGAACTCGTGACCTCAGGTGAGCCACTCGCCTTGGCCTCCCAAAGTGCTGGAATTATAGGCATGAGCC